AACTTGGATGAAAAGACTTTGAATAATAAGCACAAAGTATTATTAGAATTAACAAATTAAAAGTTTGTTTCTATTTACATGATAATATTTCATCCAACTGAATGACAGTCGTTTAATGAGAATAAGAAATATGTAGATAATTAAATGAAAGCCTAATCTCTTGACCACTTAACTAACATTCATCAAAGTAAGTGTCTTACTCTGATCAGTCTGGGGATCTAACCCATTTTACTTCGGTAGTTACTGCCTACACCCGATAGGGTTGAACTACACTGATCACATCTGACTAGAACTTCGAGAATATTCTCACGAAGCCAGTCAGTAGTGAGCACATTGCATATTAGATACTGCGAAGTGCATTTAGAATTAGGTTTATACATAGCTTCACATTGATATTCGTTTTGCTTCTTTTATAGACTAAATTTGAACAGTTTTGAAATCAGTATGTGGCACCTGTATTAAAACAGAGCTACAATTCAGATATCAAGAACGAAGGAGAATGTCAGAGTATTCTTGTTTACGAACACCTAGAAAATTTTCGTGTTTTTATGAAGTATGAGAAAATTATTCTAGGAAAATAAATTTAAAAGCCGATACACTTGATAAATACTGAAAATATTTTTTGTTAATTTGCAGATAAGCAGTACTCAATGCGTGTAAGCTAGATAACTAACATTGTGGATCGACAGAAATAAGCTACTAATTGGCAGTACTTGGGTGTGGATATGGTCATTTATTATTGATATCCTAGTTTTTCAGCTTCAGCGTATATATTTGCTTTGTGTAATTCTGACAATAGAAGTTTAAAAGGTATCATTTTACGAATGCAATCGAGGATCAGTAGAGGATATATTCCTAGTGTCATGAAAATGTGTAATCTTCATGATTGTTCTATTTGATCAAATCATACAAAAACGTTCATGAATCTATTGAAGTAAAGTATTCTATTCTTCATTTGAGTACAACGTTGTTCTCAAAGCATACAGCTTTGAAGATAAGTTGAAAATTATGCATGAATGTGACAAATTAACTGAAAACTCAATATTCTACGAAAATTTGTTGCGTAACTGAGACTTTCTTAACTGCTGTACATAGTAGAATTCAAGATTTGCATTTTTCAGTAAAATGAAAAGTCTTTCAAGATATGAAGCCAACAAGACACTAACCTAACTTATTAGATAGACTAGGAAGACTGAATTCAAGACAAATTAAGTTTCTAAGTATGCCATAATAATGTGGATAATTACAGATAATAAGATAAATTAATGTAAGAATGTGAGAGAATGGCAGGAGAACACAATTAAGAAACAAAGCAAGAAGGTTCTCATACTTCATAGGAATGAAAGGTGACAATAAAATAAACGTGTAAAAATTCGTTTTTCAACTGAACAGATATTAGTTTATTTGTTTCTTTGTTCCCATCTGAAGATATATTTGCTAGTAGTTGCATCTAATAAGTCTGAAAGAAATTATGACATCGGTATCTACTTTCTAACATTACTAATTCTACGCTTACGCAAGCTAAAACTACTTCGATCTATTGTAATGTTTACATAGTCTAATGTCAATGGTAGAGTAAAACAATTTCCTTTCTTTTAAAGACATGATTGTCTGTTTTTATAAAACAGACATAATTATTGAATATTTCGACTAAGTAGAAGAATAAATTATCATCTCTTATTGGCTAAAATTAATAGTTTATCACTGTTGAAAATGTATTTAACTCATTTCAATACATCTGAAAATTATTTGAGTTTATGAACTTTATCTATCAACTTTACGTTAAAAATTAAGGTCAGTCGAAATACAATTTTGAGTAACAACCGAAACAATAAAAATGCAGTTTGTAATAATATTTTAATTTGTTTTAGGATGAGAAACCATAAAACTAAATTCGTTCCCGGCCAATATTCACTGCTTCCTTGTTAATCATCTAATGTATAAACTTCATTCCTACTTCATTAAATATTATTTTATGGACTAAAATAAACCAATAATACTGAGTGTGTGAGTTATCAGTCAATTAAAGTGAAAGTTAGATTTAGGTATCCTATCGAAAGAACCTGATACACTAGTCGTTTTAGACAACCAACTGAATGTTGGCAACAATCCCATAGATTTAATTTAAACGAATATGGATGTATCTAAGCCAACTTTGGTCAAATAACTCAGATATGATCTTGTGAACAAATCAATACAGTAGTCAAAAATTACAATAATTTAGGATATGAATAACTTTATCTGAGATTTTGTTTCAAAATCTTTTTAGTTGTTTTCTTAATAAGTGGACATAAATTTGATCCACTCTGATTTTCACAGGAATCTTCTGATTCTTTTTTTTTCTAACATTTGTTTCAAAGCAAAAAATTTACTTTTAATAATGTTTACCGACATGAAAAAATCTCATATCATAAAAATAATCAAGAATGTAACAGAGATGACAATTGTCAAATGCAAATGAAGCAAGCAAGTTGTTTTGAAAATTAAATAATATTGTATCAATACTTTAGGAATTCTCAACAGTTTTGTTAACTCCTTCTAGACCTAAGGTCATTGATTTAATCGTCGCAATTTCAAATACTCACAAATAATTAGAGTTTATGAACTGTCTACTGACAATGCTACTTGATTTCAGTTCGTTGTGATTCAAGTACACAAATATTCCTTTTTTGATTATTTAATTTAGAAATTTGAGTACTTCATGCTTTAATGAAATTTACGCCTCAAACAAATGATGTTTTAGAATATAGGGGACAGATATTTCGTTTTTCGATGAAGTTGCATTTCATCGTCCGATATTCAGGTCAGAGCTATAAGTAGAGCATCAACGCACTGAATATTGATCACATTTCCTATTGCATAATTTAGGCGATAAATGTCAATTTGTAATTAAAATATAAACAATTTCCTACATTATGTATTGGTGTTAGCGTTGATCTCTATCATGAATCGAATCAAATATTGTGTTATAGGTACTATGGAACAAAATAGTAACCTTCTCTTGGTTTGGGTTTGCATTCTGTTGATAGATTCGTTTACCTCATCATGAACATTGTGCATATATATAAAGTTATAGGAAATGTCAACAACTTGTCTCTGAATGTGCACACTGACCTTTACTGAGACTAAAAACTAAATATGTAGATTCAGTTGATCAAAAATAACTCGTCTCAATTGAACAAAGTATATGCTTACACTTAGACAGTAGTGGACGTTTTTATACATTGATATACTACATTTTGTTGTACACTTTTAAGATACCTAAATCTTTTTCATATAAATATTAGAATATCAGTATAATAATCGTTTTCAAAATAATAAGACAGAACTTGTTGTGTGTCACCTTTACCTAGGCATTCAGATTTGAATCAAACTAACAAGCATAAATGAAAAACGATCATTGTTTTACCACAACGATGTCATCGTAATCCATTATGTTCGTAAATTCACAGATTTACGCTAATAGAGAAACAAGGAACTATGTATGTGTTACGTGTGAATCAAAATCTCTTTAACAAGTTAAAAAAATGCAGAAATTACAGTTAAACTATCGGAAAAGATTTACCGAAAAAATTCATTACCAGTTATTAAACTAGTACTATGAAGTGTACGATAGTTGCTTTACAGATTGCATGGGGACACATCGTAGCAAATAAAATGAAATGATTCAGTGTCATTTGTATAATAATAAGTTTAATGTAAGAACATAAAATTTAGCTTATTTGCAGCATGACAGAATAGTATATATTTTCAAAAACAATTTCTAACCAAAATTATAACTAAAAATTCTGAAAAATAAAGTATCATATTAGGAATGAATTATCGATAGGGGAAAAATTGTTTCCGAATTTACAAATTTCGATGTTTGCATTTTTCACATTTGTGCAAATAAATGTATTCATCAAAGAAAGCTACACCTCATGAAACTTACAACTAATTTACGAATAAAGAACATTTACTCGGATATTCAGACAAGAATGCATTTTCAGATGTAAGGAAAATAAATCTGAAAGCTTTCAAAACATTGTTTTACTTGAAAATCAAATATATTAAACTGCTTTTAAATTATTAGGCGGATCAATATAGTGTCAATGCAGATAATGCATCTAATTGATCCATGCTTGTTCTGTTTGTTAATGTTATTTGGGTATAACAGAAGTCAAAGTTGTAATTGTGTTCATTAATTCAAGGTTACATTTACAACAATTATGTCTTCTTCTTATGGTTTTTTAAAAGGGATTTTGTTTCAAAAATTCTTCAAATGAAATTTAAGTGAAATACACTAATCATATTTTATTTGAACTCATGTCATACATCGATTTTAAATCAGTCTGCATTATCAACACAAATTGAATAGTTATGATTTATGATTGAAAGTGAATAACAAGCTGATTTTCAAGATGAATCACTTAAAACATTCAAACAATAATAATCATAATAATACTTTGCAATTCAAATGAAAAACACCATAGTGTTCTTTTAGATAATAATTAATTTTATGATTGTACATTTTATCGTCACGCAAATTAAATTTCCTATAGAGTGAAGAAGGCTTTTAAATTTTAAACTGGTTATTAGAGAGCGAAATTGATATATTACATCCTCCAGGAAATGTAGATAAAATACGTTAGCAATAAAATGTATCGCATAATATCTATCATGTCATTAACACAACTCAACGAACAACAATGGCTTTATAACTTGCAGATTTAAGACAAACTCCATGAAATTTTATCGTACAGAGAATCGTCGAAAACCGAATGCAGTCGTACTAGTTTTCAACACTTAATTGTCATTGCTTAACAATGCTAATGCACGACTCTATAAAAAAGATGTATAAGGTATTCAGATATCAGGAATGATATTCTGCAGGCACTGCGATAGATTTTATAACAATTTACAAATGTTTTTTATCATAGTAAATTTACTTTGTTATACGTTTATAAAAAAAGTATACCTATACATCAAAATATTAGCATATAAATATTTAGATAACTCACCTAATAAAAAATTCCTAGCACGCCACTGAGCTTTGCCCCGTTGATTGGCTACACGACAGCGCATTAGAACTGTCTCACCTTCGAGAACTTCATATCGTTCTGCTGGTAATTCTCGCAGACATTGTAACTTTTTAGCTTCTTCTTCAGGTGTACAAGGACCAGATTGATCAGCAAAAATGGAAATAGATTTAGATAAGGAAGAAATTCTTTGAGATATACGTCCATCTGTGTCATGATTCGATTTATTTACATCCATTATCATGTGTGGATATACATTCAATTTGGAAGGTACAATTTGAATTGGGTTAGTTCGATTGAATTTGGATTTAGACATAGAAAAAAAATCCAAAGATAAGTTAGTTCGCCAATTTAAAATATTAGGCAATCCAACAGGCGGCAATTTAGAAATATTTCCAGTAAATAAACTTAATTTATCTGAGTATGACTGGTGTTTATGTATATTTTCTATAAACTGAGTACTTGAAGTGGTCGATAATATCAATGAAAATAATAGTAAATGATTTAAACAGCGAGAAATAATCGGCTCATTGGAATAAATCTCACTATTTTCACTTCGCATTATTCATATTTTTCTTGAAATTTTAAGACTAAACACATTTTTGAATGTTTAAAATGTATAACCATTTCACTAAAATAGTGTTACATTCAGAATTTCCTTCCTTGAATAAATAAACCTTCCATGGTATTTCACCGACTTTTTAGAGGTTTTCAAAATTTTAAACTATTCCCATATTTTTAGTACTGCAAACTAAAAAAAACGTTTATGTCTAATGTAATCAACATATTTACATCAGTCATTTCTCTCTATTTAGTTAGTTAGTAACCTTTGCTCAAACTAGAAATGTGTCTTGATTCTGAAGTTTCGAGTCTTGCAATACACGTTTCTGACAGAATTCATTTTAAACCAATCATATTTAAGTAGAATATGTTTTTCAGATATTAACCCAGGAAAAAGAGTTTTAAGTCTTTGGTACACTTTTATTTGAGAATATTTATGTACATATGTTCTTCAATACAATACATATTTAAAATAAATTATATTCACCTGTTTATTTTATCAGTATTGTTATGAGTAAATTATCATTTAGAAACAAAAGTAAATTGCCTCAAGTAGAGTAAACAATCCAATATTTTCTTCATCTCTTTTCTTAAAAAATCTATTTCTAAGTCATTTTTGTGCAATTCAAGTTTGTCTTACAGTTTGATTATTGATAGTTTGTTTTCATTGCATTTATTTATTTTGTTGACAGTTTCTCAAGGTTATTCTAGATTAGTTAGCCAAACAGCTAAGTAAAACTGGTAATCAGATCTGTAGATTTTAGCTTTTTTTTATCATTTCTTTCATTTCATTATGATAAACTGTTTACCTGTATAGAATTTCATTACTCAGTTTGAAGATTAGGAAATGGCATTAATTCGATACCAAATAAAAGTTAACGGTTATGATTAAACGGTGAAAATTTTCCGCAGGGTCCTGAATATCAGTGATAAAGTTGACTTGTCGAATTTTCATGAGATAATTGATATCGTCTGCATAAAAAGCAATTGGAACTTTGGGTCAGTGTAAAGGTAGCTCTTGTCATTGAACTAGGATTTAACCGAAAATGTATTGATCAAGGGATATTTGTTTGATTAGTTTGACTAAAGACGAAATTGTAGCTGATTAAATTTTTAGTCCGTGTTTTAAGGTATTATGATCACTATGAGTGCCAAATGGATCCCGATTCCAACTTCAACATAGTTATGAGAGAATACTGCTGAATAATATTAAAATAGAAAATTAGGCCAACTGTTTATCATTTCATTGTACTCAATGCTTCGCACAGTGATATCATTTCCAAATGAATATCATTATTAGATAATTGATTCGCTATTTTTTATTTGCAGAATAAGTAGGTGAATCAGGTAAATAAGTGATTTAAACTTTTCTTTCTTGGAAATTTATCCATTTAATTCTGCTGTCCCTAAATTGGTCTGAAGTTTTTGACGGTGTAGGAATAGCTTGGAAGAAAGCTAGGGGCGACCAGACCAAAACATGGCACAAATCTATGAAGCCATTGACAAGTCGACTGAGTCATGTCGGTAGGTGTCGACTACCTGGTCGGGGTCAGGGAGATGTTAGTAATTGAAGGTTAGAGACCTTGAATGACATGACTCAAAACCGTTCGCAATAGCGCCGGTGCATTCATTCTATGTGTTCTCTCGAATCCTAAACATTTTTAATTCTCGATCACTTAATCTTTATCTTTCTAAGTCTATTTCACTAGATTCTACTAGATGAATATCTTATGACCTTAACTGCTAATACCTCTACTACTATTGGATTTGAATTGACAATTACATCCCTGTGCTAATATGGTATGGCAACCTGAACTGATGTACGTACATACGAAGTTCTACGATGCTATTGATTGATTGATTGATTGATTGATTGATTGATCGATCGATCGACTGAGCAATTCTTACTTTTTATAACTGTAGAGAATTTGTTTTAAATTAAATCATTGTTACATTTCCAACAGTATAATTACGTAATATTTGTTTAATAATATAAGCGCGGTAGTCATAACCTATGTTATGAATTTTTTGACCAACTAGTAGGTAGTAAACTGGTCACCGATGTACTAGGATCATTATAAAAATCAATTTACAATTCACAACAAGAGATAATATGTTACTGCATTCATCATATATTGGATTCATTTGTGGTTTATCTATTAATTCTACAAAATGATTAAGGTCAATTAGTGAATTATTTAAAATTTAAAACAATCTTTTCCAAATTTATAAATATGTTTATAGATTGCTTTTCAAATCAATGAAGCATACGTTACTTCTGTTATTAAAATTAAAAAAATAAAATTAAATGGAATTTTATTCAATCAATTGAAGCACAAAATAAAATCTTATTTTTGTTTATTTTTATTCCAAACGCCTTCACAATTAATTTTCTCCTTATTTCTACTATTTTAATTATTATTATTATTGTTGTTTGTTTATTTAATCTTTAAACAATTGAAGAACTAAAGTGAAACACAAAGTTTATACTTTTGTTTCATATCCATCTACTACACTGTATTTGACTTGTTTCTTTTTTTTGTTAAGATTAAATTTTGTTTTTGATTCAAATATTAAGAAAGACTATTCAGGGGTAAAAGATTAGTATTATATATATAGAGAGAGAGAGAAAAAAAAATTAATAAAGAGAATACTACAGTCGTATGATATCAGATAACAAAATAAATAATAAACAGTTATGAAGAATAATATTTTCGTGTGTAAGGAAACGTAGTTTACCATTTGTTGAGTTATTTATTTTCAAGTCAAAATAAGAAGTAAATGGCACAACAGTGAGCTTCGGTTTAGTTTAGTTAAGATATTATGCAAATAGTTATTAGGATTCAGTCGTTACCTATTATTAAAAGGCATTAGTAAATGGTCCGAAAAGTGTGCATAGAAATATTACTACTAGCTGATCATGGTCAAACTAGTCATTGTGAAAAAAAGAGATATGATTTGAAAAAAAATTCGGTGACGAAATATATTTTCATAAATTTTGATATATGAATTAGAAGTCAGTACTTAAAAATTATTTTTTTCTTGAAACAAACAATTAATATTATCCATCTATTCACAATTAAGAAGATTTACGAATGGTGTTTCCAAATCGCATCCTGTTTAGAGGACTGTAATACGTTGAAATTAGTTGTTTATTGAAATGAAACATTACTTTATACATCAACCGTAAAATCAACGAGTGTATATGTGATTCCCTTCTCGATGACTCGTCACTTCCCTATGTATATATATGAATATTTTATTATTATTAATACATTCAACAATTCGTCAACTCGCTCGCTAGTATGCTTGCCCTGCTCTGTGTGTTTGTGGTCTCTGATCCATTTTGTGGTGTCTCGAAAATAAACGAATTCAACCCCTCGTGTTTGCCTTCCGATTTATCACTGTCAGGCGCTATTTGGTGACGATTGCCTAGACGAGCAAATTACGGAGACTTAGAACACATTGAATATCGATCGACTAGTGATACATTGGCCACCACAAACTAACTTCACGTCCTTTTATTCACTTATGTTATCACACAAATGTGAACTTTTTCCAGCAATCACATTGATCAGATTATTAATGCTAACATACTCTTGCATTGACTTTCCTATCATCCATCTTCTCCAATAATAAGATTTGCTTCCTTCTTTTAAATACTATTTTATAATTCTAAATAACTCCTGTTTATAATTTTACTGCTGGCAATTAATACTTTATGACAAATTGAGTACATCAACAGTTAGATGTGTATGCATAGGAAAGATTAAAATTTTTACAAAATATTTTGAACATGTAATCCTATCTGCAAACACTACGTTTGTAGTTACGCCTGATCAACTAAAATATAACAATCACTACAAATGTATTAATCCCACTGGTGACTATAATCTTAGATATTCTGAAATTTATGAACGATTTAAATGTTTACCAATATAGATAAGTATAGCATTTCAAATCTAGATGTTCTTTTCATTAATTTCATCAAGTCAAAAGTTACAGTATAAAAGTTCTATGTTTCATTTTGGTTGCAGTTTTTTATATTCGCAATGTATCATATCTCACTTCTCTAGTGAACTGCATTTCAGATCCACATTGATCAAAAGGATTTTTACTTGAGCACTGTTTGCTTAATGTTTTACATATTGCATGATTTTGTGAAACTTGTATTTGAGATATTACCACTAATAGCAATCAATAAAAACACTTCAGTAAATTTTTGCTGCATAACTTAAAAATATTTTGGAATGTATACTGGATATACTACATGTTTTTTCGTCAAACCACTGTCATATTACTATGGTCAGTAGGCAAACTGACGACAGAATTCAGCCACATGATATTGGTTAACACTTGCACACATACATCACCAATAGTCTACCTATAAGCGATATGTATCTGTAAAGTCTGTTTTTATATAACTATTTTAAGGTTTGAATATTTACGGAGTAACTTATTCATCAATGGTAATTAGTAGCCATGTTGCCTGCGACTCTATTCACTGATTAACGATTGATTGTTGTCAAACAACATTGCTGAGAAATTTCCAACATTTCTTTTTATTCTCAGGAAATCTAATGTACAGATATCTATTAGAGTATAACTGATTAGTGTCTATTCATCTGTAATTTCAGAGTATAAAAGTTATGAATTAAATGAATTGAGCATCAGACCTTTACTATTTCGATGAAATGCCAAATCGAAATCGATAGCAATTGTTATGCGACAGCACAAACTTAGCATTCAATAAAATTTTAATCAAAGTATAGGTTAGTTCTTTTTATTTACTTATTTTTGTTTATTTTATTTGGTGTATTTTAAACAAAATGGAAAGTTATTTATTGTGAATACATCTAACATCCAGAATTAGTCATGGTCAGTATGTATGAGTCACAATATAGCCCTGAACATGTAAACAAATGACTATTAGCTTTCTTTCGAATGTACAGAAATCAGTAAGCTGAAAGAAGAAAGATATTATTTACTGATAATTTGCAA